TGATGTGCTCAGTCTACTTACTGGCTAATTTGTATAATAAACGCAATTGCTTTGCAGATTCAAGTGAAGTAAAGATGACAAACATATCATCTTTAAATAATTTGCTGTCAAGAATTTGAGGAAATTCCTTATAATCACAAATTACAGTCATATCTAAATTTACTCAACCTTGAACAAAGCACATATGTGAATTGCAGAATATTCCATAATAATTTGATTATCAAAGTCCAGCTTGGTGGTGCAGCAAAACTCAAGTCAATAGTTAGTTCCCGAGCTACTTTTATTTAACTAGTTTCTTCCAGAATATTAAATAGTTTGTAAGATCTGTTGCTATTCGCATTTATTAGAATAATTTGCTAGATGAATGCTTTTGAGAGATTCTCGATCAGTTGTTTTACAAATCACAGTATTTAAACTCATGCTATTTATCTATCCACTTGACAAACCTCAGACAGCATCCAAGGACCAGGGAAGTCAGCGTTTTGGGCTGAAACATTGACTTCCCTGCTCCTCGGATGCTGTCTGAACTGCTGTGCTTTTCCAGCTCCACATTTATTGACTCTAGCTTCCAGCATCTGCAGTCATTACTGTTTCCAACTATACAAATCTGTTGATTGACTTTTATGTTTTAAAGCATTGTGCCCTCTTGTAGTAAATTATACAGAATTTTCCCTTGAGTAATGAAGTGCATGACAGACAGCTCAATGTCTCTAAGCCCAGAGTGCCTGAAGTGTTAGACATTTTCTGCAATTAACAATTCTTGACAGTCTCAATCTCCAGAAATGTCCTATATCTTACAGTCTCAGTGGACTGCTTGATCTGCTCATCTATTTTATATATTTAGTGAATTATTTGTAGTGCTAATTAATTTATCTTTAATATGGATTTGTGATTCAACTTCTCTGCATTGAACTTCATCTGCTACCTATCTAGCCACTCCACTAACTTGTCAATGTCCTTTTTTAGGTCTACACTGTTCTCTTCACAGTTCACAATAATTGCCCATTTTTGTATCACTTGCAAACTTCAAAATTGTTGCCTGAACATCAAAATCTAGATACATATCAGGAAAAACAAGGGTGCCAATACCATTCCATGGAGAACTCCATTACAAACCTTCCTCCATCCCAAAAAGTTCCATTGATCATTGCTCTGTTTCCTATCACTCAGCCAATTTTGTTTCCACATTTCTATGATCCCTTTTGCTCTATGAGCCATAGCTCTTCTCACAAGTCAGTTATGTAGCGCTGTATCAAATGCCTTCTGAAAGACCATGTACATCACATCAACAGCATTACCCTCATCAACCATTTCTGTTAGCTCTGCAAAAAAATTCCAGCAAGCTAGTTAAATACAATTTCCCCTTTAACAATCTCTTCTAAGATCTTCCTAAGCAACTAGCAACCCATCTTTTCATGTGACTACTAATCCCCCAATTCTGAATAATTGTTTCTAGAAGTTTCCCCATCAAGGAATGTTTGAATTAGGTTGTAATATTTGTGATTCTCTCATCCTCTGGCACCTTCCCTGAGTCAAGAGAAGATTGAAAAATTATGGCTATTGCCCGTGCAATTTCCAGTCTCGTTTCCTTGAATATCCTAGGATGCACATCATCTGGTCCCAGTCCCTTGTCAACTTTAAGTACCAACAGCCTATCCAATACTTCCTCTTTACCAATTTTCAACCCTTCTAGTGACAGAGTTTCCTCCTTTGTCACCGTAGCTGGGTAGCATCCACTCCATGGTAAAGACAGATAAAAAGTATTCATTTAATAGCTCAACCATGCCCCATGCCTCCATGTGTAAATTCCCTTTTACGGTCTGCAATCAGTCTCCTCCTTTAACCACTCTTTTACTATTTATTTACCAACAGAAAACTTTGAGATTTCCCTTTCGGTTGGCCACCAGTCTCTTTTCATAATCCCTCATTGCTTCTGTAATGTGCTTTTTCACCTTCCCTCTGAACCTTCTGTATTCCTCTTCATTCGCAATTGCATTTTCTATCCAACACCTATCATAAGCATACTTTTATTTCTTTATCTTAGTTGCTATCTCCTTTCTCATCCAGGGAGCCGGATTTGCCTGACCATTCCCTTTATAGTTTGACTCTGCCTAAACTATTCCTTTTTTAAAGGTAACCCCTTGTTCAGTTGTAGTTTTTCCTCACCCATCCTTTGTTGTAATAAATTCAGCCCAGCTCCCTTCTTGCCTTATTTAAGCCAGCTTTACTCAAGTTAATTATTTGTAGATAACAAGGTGTAGAGCTGGATGAACACAGCAGGCCAAGCAGCATCAGAGGAGCAGGAAAGCTGACGTTTCGGGCCTAGACCCTTCTTCAGAAAAATTATTTGTACTCTGGATGGCCAGTTGCTCTTTTCTACTTCCATCCTAAACATTACAATAAAATGATCACTCTCTCCTAAGTGTCTCCCCAATGACATTGATCTTCTACCTCATTTCCAAGGACCAGGTCCAACAGTGCATCCATTCTTGTTGGGCTCAACACATACTGTTGTAGAAGATTTTCATAAATGCAATCTCTGCCGTTTACACTACTAGTGTCCCAGTCAACATTCGGATAATGAAATTTCTCCATTATATAATGTTTGCATCTTGCTGTAATTTCCTTGCAGATTTGTTCTTCTACATCCTTTCCACTAATTTGTGGTCTGTCGACTGCATGAACAATTTCATTGCACTCTTTTCGTTCCTTAGCTCTAGCCAAGTTGATTCTGCCCTTGAACGCTCTGGGACATCCTCTTTCTCCAGCATTGTAATGCTCTCTTTAACCAATACTACTACTCCTCCGCATTTCCTTCTTTCCCTATCTTTTCTGAAAAACTTGTATCTACAGAGTCCTGCCCTTCATTGAGCTGGATCTGTGTTAGTGCCACAATATATGCCATATTTCCATATGGCAGTCTTGCCTTCTACTCCTTAGTCTTTTTCACTGTACTCCATTCCAGTCACATACAAGCACAATAGTCCTGATGTAGACCTCATTACTTTCTCCCTTACTCCAAAACAAAGATAGGTAGGAAAATAAATTGTAAAGAGGACATAAGGAAGCTACTAAGGGTTAATTGAGTGGGCATGATTCTGACAAAATGGAGTATAATCTGGGAAAATGCAAAATATCTACTATTGTCTAAATGGCAGAGATTGGAGAGCTCTGAGAAGCAGGAGGATCTAGGTATCCTACTGCATGAATCACAAAGGGTTTGAATACAGATACAGGAAGTAATTAAGAAAATTAATAGAATGTTTTCATTTATTTCAAAGAAATTGAATAATAAAATGAGCAGGATATGAAGGGCACTAATTAGTCAATATCTGGATTACTGTGCACAGTATGGACCTCTTTTTTAAGGAACATGCAAATGTGTTGTAAACAGTCCAGAAAAGGATTACTAGACCAATACATGGAATGGTATGTCTTGTGAGGAAAGTTTGGACAGGCTAAACTTGCATCTCCTGGAGTTTGGAAATGTCAGACATGACTTGTTTGAAACACATAAGATTCTGAGAAGTTTTGATGAGGTGGATGTGGAGAGGATTTTTCCTGTTACAGGAGAGTCTAGATCTATGGGCTGCTGTTTAAAAATAAGGGGTCACCCGTTTAAAACAGAGCTGAGGTGAAATATTTACCTCACAGGGTTGTGAATCTTTGTAACTCTTTGCCTCAATAGGCAATGTAAGCAGGGTTTTTGAATATTTTTAGATATAATCTTGATGAACAAGGAGGTAAATGGTTGTCAGGCGTAGACAGGAATGTGGACTAATCAGAACAGCCACAATATTAGTGATTGACAGAATAGGTTCAAGGTAGTCTTCTGCTCCTGATTTGTACATTTTTGTGCTTTGTTGTTATTTCTCAACTTCTTTCTGCTCCTTTCTTTGCATAAATAATATGGTAATATCTTGTATTTGGAATTCTTCACTCCATTTGATTGTGTTCCACCATTCCCATTCCCCTATTCTGTTCTGAATTCTTTCTTCACGTCTCTTTTAGTAGATAGATGAAGGGCAATTCGGGAGAATGATTGAGTAATGGAAAGTTTTAGAAACATAGGATTGAATTAACCGGACAGTGAACTCTCGTCATGATGATCAATTTGTGAAAAATCACATTGAGGGAACTCTTTCCTCCTCAGCGCATACTTCAACCTGTGATTTAACCCTAATAAGGGGAACCTGAAGCCCATGAGTATAATTCTATCCATAGAAAGATGTGGCACAGAAGGAGGCTGACAGGTGGACATCATGTCTGTCTCAGCCCTTTGCAACAGCTATCCAAGTCTCCCCATTTCCCTGTAAGTATCCATCCAACCCCCTTTTGAAATTCTATTGAATCTTCTTCCTCCACTGTCACACTTGGAATGAAAAGTTGTGCCAAGTTGCTTTCGTTGAAGTAAGCAGTGTATTACATTTGAATTTAGTCAGAATTACCTTGTCAAAATTGGTGTTTTTGACTATAAAATAATATGGTTCAGGCAGACGGCAAGCTCACAGCTGACAAAAATAGATGATTACCACAAGTCCAACTTGAATTCTGCCTTTTCATTACAATGAAGTATTGGAGATAAGGTGATTGATGATTGACAACATACTAACTTATGGTTCAAAAGCATAAAAGATTCTAGAAAAAGAACTTTGCAGATTGATCTTTTAGCATGGGTCTTTGGTACCATGTAAAACTGAATTATCTGAATGGAGGAAGAATGTGCCGAAGATAAGCAAATTAAATGTGATTTCATACTTAACCCCTATGTACCTCTTCGCAGGTCAACCTCTGAGCATATTGAGTGTTGCCTTTGCAGTTTTTTTTTGTTGTCTAGTTTATCCCATCTCCTGACCAGTGAGAATGCGGTACGGTAGAAAAGTCAACCAAAGTCCTGTTAGACATCAGAAACTTGACAGCATTCAGGAAATTTCCTTTGCATTCATAGAAATAGCATTCTAAATAGTTAATAACCTTTCACTTATGCATTTCTATTATAGGAAAAGCATGAAGTTGAGATTGAAGGTTTACAGCCAAACACACAATATCTGGTGCAAATGCAGGCAGTGGCTAACTGGGGACAAAAACGGTCAAAGAGCAGCAAAGCTCTCTTCTTTTTTAATACCCCTTCCACAGGTAAGAATAATGAAACCATGTTTGCTATTGGTAAAACTTACTGGATAGAGATCTGAAACCTTTCCTGATTCTCTCTAATGCTTCTAATACAACTGGAATAAATATTAAAAGTGAGTCTCAGATAATATTGTTTATTTTCCAATCTCCTTCTCTGTGGGAAAATACATCTTTATTCAGTTCTCTCCTAGGCTAACTGACGGACAGAAATACATGATTTTCCATGGGGCGATGCATTAGTACTCCACAGGGTCGCAAAATGCTATGAAGTTTGGGACCATGAAACCAGCCCTGTTCCTTCCTGATATATTTCACGCCTGCCAATAATAGTTGTTTTAGTTACTGAGTGACTGTGAAAGTGAACTTGGCCAATTCCTTATCTCTTCATAGATATATACAGGTATTTATAAACACAGGTTCACAACACCTCCATTGGTTTGAAGCAAACAGTTTACCTGATCTTTAACTTGGCAGAGCTAGAAAGTATAATTGTAGTGTAAACATTTTGGATTTGATGAATGTGTGATCACATTCAGTGGCCTGTAATTGTTACAATATTGAGCTTTGTAACACCGATTGAAGTATGAGAAGCTATTGAATCTGAAACATCTGGTTTAAGAGTGAGGTTTGGAGGGTGAACTCAAGAAAGGGGAATTTGGCCAAGAAAGTACAAAGAGATTTTGAACTGTGTCATGTTTTCTGATTTATTCCACAGGTCAAACATTTATGTCTGGGATTCTTACAAATATGCTGTATGGGGGCTGGGGAGAGATGACATTTAAAATAACCTTGAGCTATACTTGAAACACAAGCCATTTTCCAACAGTTGCAATATTTTATTTAAATATTTCAAATTCTTGCACAAATCAATGTTTGGGAGGGGAGGATGGGAAGAACTGCTTTTGATAAGTGTTGCTTTATCTAGACATCCAATCAAATCATGGCAGTGCTACAGATGAGGTGTCCAATGAGCTTCCATCTCTTGATGAGATGTTTGACATTCAAAGTCTGGAGGCAGCAGTTCCCTATTTCCATGGTAACCAGCTGCAAGTTAAAGTACATTGGAAGAAAGCAAAAGAAGGTATGACAGTCAACGAAGTTTTCACTGTTATGTATTCTTGTAATGTAGTCCTCGGAAGCAGAAATTGCATTTGTCTTATATAACTTAACTCGCTTTATTTTTCTACTTTTTATATTTGAAACATTAGAAACAGATGGTGATACTCGCTTTAATTGGAATGAGAGTTTTGCATGTTTAATAAATAGTTGAATCTAAGTTTATGAAACATAACAGCCAAGATCTCAGATTATTTACAGTCATTTTACAGGTAGTTTAGTTTTGTACAAAAATATATAGATGTGTTAGAGTGCCATCTAGTCCCTATACTTGGTATTTGTAAATCCTTTGTACAAGAAGTCCTAATGAGATTAAAATTTGACCTTCTGGTCATCTAAATGGCTCCATAACCAGTAGTCTACCTTTTGGATCTGCCATCCCATTTTTCTAATGTTGTGTTTTACAATTGTTAGCAAGATGGGAGCAGATATTTTGTAAGGTTTGACTTAAGTAACATTATAGATTAGGACAGAGACTGCTGAGTGGTGCTTGTAATTCATAATGTTCTCACAAGTGGAATTATGCATTAAGTTGATAGATCTGGAATTCACAGTTTAATTTAAAATAAATTCTATACTGTGTCTTTACACTTAATTCATAGCTATGCTTAGCACAGTAACAATTCCAAATGGCTTCTGTTGACTGCTCCTTGGAAGCTATCTGTCTTTCTGGGGTTGGGTGATGATCTCAGGGATTGTGGATTTGAGGACATGTTACATGCTGTTGGGTTTCAGTTTCTGATACTCTTTAAATCTCATTTCATAAATTGGTACATCTTTCAAAATATTTATATGTATAATTATAATGTAGGAAATATGAATGTTAGAGGGCAGTTTTCTTGTTCATTGTTGAGAACACAATGCTAGAGCTGTGAGCGTCTGTGTAATATAAGCCAAGAGCTTTGCAGATCACCCAGAGATCCCCATGTGTAATATGATTATGCCTTCTGAAGTTTGTGTTAGGGATTCAAGGGCTGCACAAGTTTTGAACCAAGTGTAATCAAGTTAGTGCCATTGTTCAGGTTCTCCAGTGTGTCATTGCTGGTTATTCAATAATAATTCTACATGTAGAGGCCTCCTAACAAAGATAATTGCTGGAGCCTTTGGCTTGTTTAGTGGTTTATTGAACCAACCATACTTCCAGATCAATGTGTAAAATATTACAAAATCACAATAAATTGAAATTTACAGTCTAACCTGAACTACAAATTCTTTTACTGTGGTGTTTTTCTACCTATTAGATGGATCACAACCAAGATTTTCAATTTCATCTCTAAATAGTCCACGATTCCCCATCTGGTCCCAGTCACTTCTGACTCTTGGTGGTATCCTAATCTAGAAATGAAACTGCAATACCAGAATTCTATTTTTTTTTTAACCTGAGGTCTGCAGTTAAGTAACAATCTTCCCTACCTTACAGATTGAATATGCTAAATGCTGTACCATAAACCACAGGAAGTGTAGTAATTTTTGCATTTGCTATGCTTTTGAATCAGACCATGTGGTGGAGCATATATGGGCAATTTTCACCTGGAAAGGTCAATGCACTCTATCCAATTTTCAATTATTCAGCTTCCAAATCCACAAATTGTGCTGCAATTAGAGTATTACAGGTATGTCTATATTGCAGTGCTGACTGGTAAAATTCACCTGTGTAGCTAAAAGATTTAGTTTTGAATTTCAGGATGAACAACTCATTGCTATCCTGAGTCAGGAATGAAACACAGGCTATAGTTGCAGAAGATGGGTATTTACTATTGTGCAGCCTGCTAGTCTTCAAAATCATGAAAATTAAATTAACACATTGTAATATTCTTCTGCAATGTCAAAAGGTTAAAAATCCTGCCAATTAGTGTACAATCTTAATTCATTTTAGTGAATTGGACTCTAAAGTGGTATTACTACAGGAATCAGTTTTAACATCAAAAGAGAGTTTGAAATGAATAATGTTTCATGGTTCCTCTTTTGTTTCAGTGCAGTGTGGCTTCCAGAGTGCATCAATGTAGGTGTGGTAAGGAATATCAACATTCAGATTGGCAGTTTAATTCTTGACAGTTCCTTTAAAGAAAAAGGTGGTAAGACCATCCAGGTAGACTCGCATTCCTTGAGGTTTGCTCTTGGGTGAAGCCACACTTCTAAAACAAAATTTACAGTGCATTTTAAAAAAAAAACGTGTTGTTTGAATTATTTTAATGCCAGTGGGTAATGTTATTCCCTAACACAAACAGATCAGGTGGAAAGTGAAGCACAGCACATTGTATGTCAGCACAAATACCTCAATATACTTGTTGGTGAACCGAGTGCAGTGTGTAATTAGCTGTATAAGCTATTTTTTGTACTATTCTGATAACCACCTGAGAGCACCAAGACCCCATTAAAAGGACAGGATGAAGCTGATTGTAAATATTTGCATCTGTGTGTCTGTAATACAATACACTATTTTTCCTTTGTTTCTCCAGAAAGTCTTAAGGATCACAATCTCTACCTGTTAACATGGGTACCAGAATCCTGTGCCAAGAGCAATTCACAAATACAGCAACATGCAACTGTGAAGGTTAGAAATGTATCAGTTTAGTTTCTAAGTAATGTAAAAACAGACTGAAGAAATAGACTTTTTAAAAAAGGTCTTACAAATAAATGTTCTTATTAAAAGCACATTGCCTCATCAGTACTTAAGCTCATATTAAATGAGTTAGATTTGCAACATTGATCGCTACAGATTTCATTTGTTTCAAAATAATTTTTAATAACAAAATAACTTTTAAAAGGAGCCTTGTGTTTTATAAAGTTTCTGATTGCATACTTTACATTGATTTAAACATGTTTATTTTGCACCACAGAAAACAAAACATTTATTTATAATTACCACAGGAAATTTTGAAAACATAATGGGCAGTATCTTCCCACTTTCAGACTAAGTACGGAAGTGGAGAGTTTAGAGTAGGGAAATCCACAGCCTATGAAGATAGGAATGTCTGCTGGATCTTCCAGCAATCAGGCAGCTGCAGAACCTGATAGAACCACAGCAGGGACCAGGGCTGCTGCCGATACAACACTGTCCTGGACTCTTGGATGGAGGAACAATCAAGTCAAGTGTAGTTTGCAGGGTGGGGGCCACTGGGAGAGTGACAAAGGAATGGTCAGATGGGCAGGTGGGGTGGTACTTGGTGGCCACCCACCTGCACCAAGTTGTGTCCCTCGAATGTGCACAAATGAGTGAAGATTGAAGGGCCAATCTCCCACAAACCAATAACCTACTTTCACAGGTTAATCAGTCGGATGGGCTAACTCTTTCTCATGCCATGCACCCACAGTGCTTAAATAATTTAGACCAGGTGGGATGAGGTCCTTAAGTGATTGTTAATTAAGCAGGATGCATAGATGGATCTTGGGTTTTCCCACCCAAAACAGAATTTGGACAATGTCTAGAGGTGGTGAGATTCTCATGCACCACATCCTGCATAATTGTTCACTTCCACCTCCAGCCCTGATGCCTTCAAGCATGGAAGATTCCGCCCATCATTTGTGAAGGGAGAAACAAAGTGAATGTAATTTATCGAAATGTTCTGTCTTGACAGAGCACTGCATTTCAGAAAGAACTTCTAAAATATATACCATAGCGTTGGCCAACATACTAAACAATTGTGCCCTTTGATTCCTTTAGTCTATGTTTCACTGATATGTTACCTGCAAAATAAAACTGAGGCTAGAACAGATAAGGGTCTGGATTTTGCAGTCAGGCCATCTCGATTTCCATCTATCCTCATTATGCAGGCTTGACTGAGAGCTCAGACCAATTAAAAACATTAGCTCAGCAATGAATCTGCTTTCACATGTGAAGTGAATTGTTAACTTTGCTTGATTGACATCTTCAAGCAGTTCTGATATGTTGTTATTTCTTTGATTATTTTTGTTAATGTCTGTGTTTATTGAACCAAATTAAGAGGTGTGAAGTGTTCCAAGCTTCAGTTATTAATATGTTAATGATCTGATTGATGCTTTTATGGATCGTCAAAACAGCCTAGTATTTTCTCAGAAGCAGATTTGTGAATTAATGCTTTTTGTCTTTTCTGAGAAGGTCTGCACATGGTATTGTTATAGCTCACTGGTTTTGTTCATAGTGGAGGGTGGCTGATGAGGTTTCACTTTTCAAGAAGGGTGGTAGAAATGAACCAGGAAGTTACAGACTGGTGAGTCTCAGTGTAGGGAAATTACTGGAGAAAATTCTGAAGGAGAGAATTAATATCCACTTGGAAAGGCATGGGTTAATTAGGGATAGTCAGCATGGTTTTGTCAGAAGGAGGTCATGCCTAACAAATTTTTAGAATTTTTCAAAAACGTGATCAAGTGTGTGGTTGAGGGAAGTTCAGTTGATGTGGTTTATATGGATCTTAGCAAAGCTTTTGACAAGGTATCACATGGGAGACTGATTGAGAAAGTTAAAGCACATGGAATTCAGGAAAACTTTGTGTGATGGATCAGAAACTGGCTTCATAATAGGGCACAAAGGGTAGTGGTCAAGTGACTGGAGGCTGGTGTCCAGCAGTGTACCGCAACAATCAGTACTGGGACCCTTGTTATTTGTTATATAGATGGGAGTGTTAAGCAAGTTTGCAGCCAACACCAATATTGGTAGAGTGGTTAATAGTGAAGAGATGGTTGGAGGTTATAGGAAGATATAGATGGTTGGTCAGATGGGCAGAGTAGTGGCAGAAGGTATTTAACTCTGATAAGTTTGAGGTGATGCACATTGGAAGAAGAAACAAGATGAGGGAGTATTTAATGAATGGCAGGACACTGGATAGCTTAGAGGAACAGAGAGATCTTGGGGTAATTATTCACAGATCCCTGAAGTTGGCAGAGCGCATGAACAGGATAGTTAAGAAGTTATACCGTACACTTGCTTTCAACAGTCATGGCACCGTGTATAACAGCAAGGAGGTAATGTTGAAGTTGTACAGAGCATTAGTTAGGCCACAACTGGATGTACTATGTGCAGTATTGTCACCTCACTATAGGAAGGATGTGATAGCACTAGAGGGGTTACAGAAGAGGTTCACCAGGATGGAACAATTGAGCTATAAGGAGAGACTAGACAGACTTGGATTGTTTTCTTTAGAGCAGAGAAGACTGAGAGGAGACATGATTGAGGTGTATAAGATTATGAGGGGTATGGACAGGGCGAGTAGGGAGCAGCTGTTCCCTTTGGTTAAGGAGCTAATCATGAGGGGCCATAGTTTTAAGGTAAAAGCCAGGGGATTCAGAGGATATTTGAGAAGAAACTTTTTTCACTCAGAGGATGGTGGGACTCTGGGAAGGTAGTGGAGGCCAAAATCTCATTATGTGTAAAAAATATTTGGATGAGCACTTAAGTTAGCATAACATTCAAGGAAATGGGACAAGTGCAGGAAATTGGATTAGCGCTCCTTTAGTGATAGTCACTGTCAGTACATACTCAATGAGCCGAAGGGTCTTTTCTGTGCTATATGACTTTCTTACTCGTTTGCAAAAGTATTGTGAAAATTGTGAATCATACTGTGATTCTTTCGGTACTTTCGAACTAAAAGCTACTTTTAACAAGCATCTTCAGCCAATGTATAAATAGACAAAAAAACTATTTTAGTTGTGGTCTTCCCAAGCGTAGTATTGTAACTGACCCTTCAATAAATCCTAATACAAATGTTTAGTTGGACTTCAATAAACTCCATCTATTTGTCTCATCTAATGGATGCTATTGCACTTCTCTTTCTTTTCCCCTGAATGTTTTGTCTGTGAATCAAGTTGTAATATTTCTTCTTAAGACAAGTATCATTAAATGTCAATCTGTTTGACAGATTGCATCAAGGGATAAAAGTCTGTTGAGTTATGAGGGTTCGCACAATTTATTGACAGAAATGTGGGAAACACCAGATTTTCTAGAACTATAGTTGTTAATTTTTATGCATTGCAGTGTTTTGAACATTTTGTAGGGGTAGTTCCTGGGAGGATATTTGTCAAAAGCACTGCTATTTTCAAGGTTTTCAATGAAATTGCAGGCAGTAGTATTGTTTGTATATTATAACATGTTTGAAGTTGGCATCTGTTTATAATAAAACTTCAGATGAACTGCTTGTTCACTGAAATCTATCATACAACACAATTTAACAAACACGGGGTAAGCATCAATCATTCTGCTGCTGACAAAGAAGTTACCTAACTGGTGAAGTAAATTATTTAGTTATGCTGGCCACTGGCGTCAATGTTAGATGAAAAATGCCATTTTTTTTTTTCAATTTTATTCTCAGGCCACGTATACAGACAAACTGGCAATTCATTTTTGAGGTTGAGGAGGTAGCTTGTATGTTATTGGTCTGATTTGAGCTTTTAAATAATATTTACATTCAGCTGAGATAAGGAAAACATTGAGTAGAATCTTATAAGGGCCTAAACAATGTGGGCTGTGGTGAGAAATGTGGCAGATTCACATGAGAGGTCCAGTGAGGTCTATCTTGTTGTCAGGAGTAACCCACTGCAGCTTTTATACAACTGCTGGATGTTAAGGCAAAATTCTCATTAGGGGGCGTGTGCTGCCTATTGAGGAGGATTGTTGCTCATTGATAACTTTATAAACTGCACATCTCACCTCATTAATATGCAATTTCCTACCTTAAATGCACTGAGCAAACTAGATGTATTGAACTTTTCAGATGGAAGTCAAAGCATGGACCTGGCCACTTTAGCTCAATGCTTGCTTCTAAGAACCTCAATGTTGGACACTGGGTGCCAGTATCTCAGGGCATGGTCCATGGCCATGTGCACCGCACTTCCACAGACACTGTGTGTCCGCCTGTAGGAAATAGCATTGAAAATATTCAGGTTGGAGCTTGGTGACCATGGAAATTATTCAGCTTGGAGCTTGGTAACCAGTGGCGTTCCAGGGATCTGTTCTGGAACCTCTGCTCTTTGTGATCTTTATAAATGACTAGGATGAGGAAGTGGAGGGGTGGATTAGTAAGTTTGCTGATGACACAAGGGTTGGTGAAGTTGTGGATAGTGTGGAGGGCTGTTGTAGGTTGCAATGGGACATTGACAAGATGCCGAAGTGGGCAAAGAAGTGGCAGATGGAATTCAACCCAGAAAAGTGTGAAGTGATTCATTTTGGAAGGTCGAATGTGAATGCAGAATACAGGGTTAATGGCAGGATTCTTGGCAGTGTGGAGGAACAGAGGGATCTTGGGGTCCACATCCATAAATCCCTCAAAGTTGCCACTCAAGTTGATAGGGTTGTTAAGATGGTGTATAGTATGTTGGCTTTCATTGGCAAGGTGATTGAGTTTAAGAGCCGCGAGGTTATGCTGCAGCTCTATAAAATCCTGGTTAGACCACACTTGGAATATTGTGTTCAGTTCTGATTGCCTCATTATAGGAAAGATGTGGCAGCGTCAGAGAGGGTGTAGAGGAGATTTACCTGGAAGCTGCCTGGACTGGAGGGCAGGTCTTATGAGGAAAGGTTGAGGGAGCTAGGGCTTTTCTCATTGGAGTGAAGAACGATGAGAGGTGACTTAATAGAGGTGT